CCCCCAAAACCCCAAAACCCCAAAACCCCATTCCTCAAGCTCCAAGTTGGATTTTTTTATAGTGGAAATTAGTTAAAGATGGTGAATTACTTTGTTAAAAGTTAAACAACGAGATAATATAAGACTTAAGATTTCTTTAAATTCTTTGCAAGTTGGAGTATTGTTAAATCTAGATATTCAAGAGATTTAGCTTAGTTCAAATATAAGACTAATCAAATCTGGTAGGGTTTAAGTCTGCAATTTTGATAAACTGAACGGAAAAGGAACTATATAGATATTTTCCCAACTAGAGTTTTAGGAGATGATATTTCTCAGAATCGTTATTTAATAGAGAATGTAGATAGTATTTTGACTTTAAGAGATGTAAATATTTCTTTAGGTTAAAATTGAAGAAAATTTTGAACTTAAGTAGCTAATTCATCCATCAGCTTCGCATATATTTTATTTTTCAAAAACTAACTTTTGTGTCGTCTTCATTATATCAATTATATTCTTTAGAATTTTTTGGTGAAAAAGATTAGTAACCATCTAGTTTATTGTTCATCTTTCATTCCCTCCTTGTCTGCTGACTGATTAGTTTTAGGTTGGAGCAGTTCAGCCATAAAGTAGATGCTTGTATGATCAATCAGGCTTCCTTTTACTTACCGAATTTTCAACTATACCTTGTTTTAGAATATTCACTAGAGATCTGGCATCTAGTCTTGGCTAAAACATTAGAAATTTTCTTTGAAGTATTAGTGATTAGAGAAATTTCCCTCTAACTAAGAAAGATTAGGAGGCTAAGTAAAGTGTCCCTTTGCTCTTGGAAAAGATCCATTTATATGCATTTCTATTTCTCTGATATTTTTAACTGAATCTTTTATAAGAAGACCGATCAATATATGCTAATGTAAGTGAGAGGTGAAAACTTGATATCTAAGTCAATTTGAAAACATGCAGTTATCCATCTTGCTCTATTTCTACAACCGCATAAAGGGGTTCCAAGATTCATTAATTTTACACTAATTGGTACATACGTTTGATCTAACTATTTTAATTTTTCAGTAGAGGCATTCAGGTAAATCAGACTCCAGCTAATCATTTTTTAGAAATTACCCTTGTGGATTTAATAAAGCTAGGTGATAAGGTAAGATCTTAACTAGATGAAGGTTCAGCTTCTTAAGCTTACAGTTATTTTCACAAGGATGCCAATCATCAGATTGGTGACTCATTCCTTTTGCTGGATAGTAACAAGGCTGAAAGATTACTACCAACTCGATTACAAATTTATAGATGAGACATATTATTTCCAGTAGTTCAGACCATATTTCATAACCGAATTCAGAACAAGGAGTTATTAGTTTACCGTTAATATCCTAACATAGCTTAAGTAATCTACTTATTTTGTCAATAAACCTAACAATTTTGATCTAATAGAAGAGATAGAGCCTCAGAGATGGGCTCAAAAGCCCAGTAGGAGTTAAACTTGTGGAGAGTTGGACATGATTAAATAGCCATAAGTGTCACACAGTTGGGCTGATTATAAACTAATTATTATGTGAAATACCCACTCGCGTGTTGGATAGTTTAAAATTTTCAATTCTTCTTCAATAATTTGCTAAAAATTAAAGCCAAGAATTTTTAAGGACACTTCTGGGAATTTCTGATAGATATCCTGCAATATTTACAAATCTACATTAAATTTTTTCTTTAGAGCAGTTATGGGAGGAAAATTTTGGTTTAGAAGAATAAAGCATTTACGATTCTGAAAATTTATATTTTTGAATAATATCAACATTCTCGGTAAGACATTTTCAATAGAGTTCAAAAATTACTTTATGAGAAACTTCTAAAATTTTAAAATTAATAAAAACATAATTGGATTAAGTAACTTAGAAAAATTTAAACTGTCTATATTTTAACACCTTCCAGGCCATGCAGAGCTTAGGCCAAGATGACAGGTCTTCAGCATTGCTGCACTGGGCATATTAATAAAAAATGGAGAAAAATTGGTGGGTTAATCCGATCATAATTTTATTAAGTGCAGTAAATTTGATAGCTTATTAAAATTCAGGGAACAAATTTTGTCATTTTCGAGCAGTCATAATTTGGTACTCTTATTGTTTCAAACAAAATTACGCCCTCTAAATCCCCTCCTCCTTGTTCTCGCCAAAAAATGCACTCAGATGATTTGATCAGCTATTTTTGATGTTCTTGGAAATTAATAAAAAGGCGAATTAGGTGAAATCAGGAGACAAGTAAACTGAACCTGACGAGCACTTTCCCACAAGACTTAGAAGGCAAGATACTACGAAATCTTGCAAAATCCAGAATAATTGAATATTTTATACCTTAAATTGTCTATTTTATATCCGGTTGCATAATTTTGGAACAAACTCACAAGCCATTTCAAAACTAAAATTTAAATATCAGATTTTCAGATATAAAACTGATGCAAAACTCTTAAGCAAAATTCTCTAATTTCTCTTTAAGAACTAAACCTCTTCTGAATCGCTCATAAATATCAGCTAGCTTAGCCTGGTAATGATCCATATCTCGTATTTAAACTTATTATCTCCCAACTAAAATGAGCCTATGCCTTGGAAGGTACAAATTTTATCAAACTAATCTTCCCATTTAAAGTTTCAGAACTTTATTATGAAAATTGTAGAACCTGTATAGCCCAGAATATTTTAGATGAAGTATCAGAAAAGAGGTTTGCGGTAAATTATTCATGAATTAGTTCAATCATTCCTCTCAGCTTGGTTCCATTTAAGGTCTGAAGAGTAGGAGTCTTGGCAGGAAGTTATGGTAAAACTTCATTCAATTGTATAGCTCTGGGATCTCTTGAATTCTCAATCAAGTGTCTTCATAATGTTTGTAAGCTGCTGGACATCATGATATTTTTAAACTTTTCTTGTGAAAATTTCTTTACGATATCCAGAAAACAGAGTATTTCTTGTTTTGTTTCAGGGGAGCATCGGATTATTCTTGTCTTTTTAAGTCGCAGTATTCCAATTCAGAAGCAAATAAGATCTGGAGTTACTACTTCTTTAGTAAAGATCGATTGCAATGTAAGTTTTATACTTTCTGACACTTTATTTAAGTGAGCAATTTACATATCTTTGCTGAACTAAAGAAGGATTCATTTGCTTGAAAAGTTTAAGGTAGAATTTCCTGAGGAACCTCAGAGAGTCTCTGAACTTATAGCATCTTTTAGTGCCTGAAATAAGATTTGTTGTATTTCTGGATGAAAAAGTGCCGAACTCCTTCTTTTCTTCTTTTTCACTAACATTTTCTTGTTTTTGATGCGACGATAAATTTCAAAAACCATTTAATGATTTCTCAGAAAACTCCTTTACAAGTTCAGAGCTAAGCCTCTGAGGTTGAAATCCACTAATGCTCTGATTTTTCCTCAAGTCCTAAAACCCCTAAGTTAAAACCAATTCTTCAACTCTTAGAACCCAAAACCTAAACCTACCTCATCTTTAACCAAATCCCCCTCTCTTCATCCCTGTTCTTTACCCTCACCTTCCTCCACTCCACCCTCTTGTTCACCCCCTTCACTCACAAATTCTCCTTCTACACTCTAAACCATTAATCTCTTCCTGGCTCTCTGCTAGGAGGCTTCCTTATAACACCCTCTACCCAAACCCCTTTACAAAACCTTACCCATTGTTCATCTTCATTCATGCCTGCAAACACATTATCTGGATAAACATAATCCTGGCTTCTAAACCAAAAGTGGTCGGAAGTGCTCTCCATCTGTTTAAATTAATATTTGTGTTATTTTCAACTGGGTTTTAGTATCATGGGGTTTTGGGGTTTTGGGGTTTTGGGGTTTTGGGG